TATTTTTTTAATGGAAATCAGAAATAAATTTTGGTACAAAAAATAAATAAAGAATTAATTTGTTGGACGAGAGGAATACTACGGAGTATATTTTTTCCTAAATTTACTAAAGCGTAGAAATCAATGTCATGCCACTTAAACCAAGGGACTCGATTTATTTACCCCCTACTTGCAAACAAATTTATGATTATTCCGTTTATTTGCTTTATTAGGTTTTAGACCAACAACAACTTTTGTTTGGTTAGTAAGGAATGGCGACATTGACGTATATTTGAAGGAAAACATGAGAAGTTGAGAATCTTTTATGGGACCAATAGATCTCTCACTATTTTGACGGAGTCTACTTTTAACGCCCTTCCTAGAAAATCTAATATAGCTTAGTTGTGGAAAATTTCAAAAGATAAACCGACAACAAAATTTAATAATGAGATCCATTAAGGAACGAGGGGATATCCGACACTACTATGTACTCCCTATGAGAATTCAGCCGCTCCTCATTAGCACCTCCCTTCTTTAATTAAAAATCCATCTATTTAATCATTTTCTCTCATTCATATTTATTTCACATCATCCATTTTAAAATATTTTATATTTTAAACAAACATTTACAATCCATTTCATCGATCTATCAACTCTGATGGTGTAAATTTAACCGGACATGTTTGACCGAGTGTGACCAGATCAAGACAGACTCTATCAAGTAAGCCAAATAACTAGAAAGCAAGAACACAAGAATCAATTGGATCAGAAAAGATGTCAAGGAACCAACTCAACCAAAAGCTCAATCTTGTGGTTGTGGCCCAGGAATGATTGTTATATACTCTAACACGCCCCCTCACGTGCAGGCGTGACCTCTTTGAGCCTTGCACGTGAAACCTTAATTTTTTAAACTGGGTGGCGGTGAGTTTCGAACTCGTGACCTCTTGGTCATCAAGGCTCTGATACCATGTCAAGGAACCAACTCAACCAAAAGCTCAAGCTTGTGGTTGTGGCCCAGGAATGATTGTTATATACTCTAACAAAATAATTTCTGTGCTCGAAATTATATTTCTTATTCTGTATCAGGAGTGTACAAATGTCTGTATGAATGATTTCATGTCCCTCCTCTACCTCTTACAATCTATTTATATAGGGTGGAAGAGATCAATTAAGGTAACAAGCCCTTTTTTGGACGTAGACCTAGCTTCAATGAGTATCTACATAAGAAAATAGGTCTTTGACCCGCTGCTCGTTGGCCTAACTGTTAATGGGCGCCAATCTCGCCCTCATTCATGTTGTCCATCGGCTTAGCGCGATTCTCGCTCCATCATTAAGTCTCGAAGATGGCGGGGTAGGATAGCGCGATGGCTCGAGCCATCTCTTAGCGCTGTGTTCATCATCCAAACTCCTGAAATCAGATCGGGCCAACCTGAGGGGTTATCTTTATTTTATTTTCTATTTGTTTTTTATTTTAGTTTTGATTAAAATAAAAGAAACGGTATAAAATTAATGAATAGAAAATGAGAAATGAGAAATGAGAACTTTAGTAAAAAAGAGAACATTTTATTGATTTTTGAACCATGCAAATGAACCAATAAAGACATCTTTTAGACAAAAAATAAAACTGTTTAATTTGAAACGAATGAAGTGTACGCTAAATCTTGTTATTTATTTGATTTTTATTGCAAACACAAATAAAAGTTGATTATTAAAACATTATAAAAATAGAGTTTTAAAAAAGAAATTAAAAAGATTTATGAAAAGAATAGTAGAAAAAAGAAAAAAAATAAAGAAAAGAGGGGGTATTTGTGCCAATTTTTAAAATCATAGGGGACAGTAGAGATATTCACATAATATTTGAAAGATATTTTAGTCTAGAGAGACAGTGACATAACAATATGAGAACCATGAGAGCCAACAACGTAAATTTTGAAATCATAAGAATAGTAATGTGCATTTTCCAAATCACAAGGGTCATGGTCCAAGAAGCTCATGGTAGATATAATGAAATGCCAATGATAATGTGATTTGCCAACATATAATACCACGTTCATATCACATGCCACATTTCCAAAAATGAGAAAAAAGTTGTGGAAACAAATTCAAGAATACAAACATAGAAAACTTTTTTCCAAATCATCTCTTCCCAAATCAAAAAAGTGAACTAAGAGGTGTTTGGAGTTGCATTTAAAAATTATTTATGTGCTTTTGTTTCATTAAAATACTATGTCAATGTGTTTTGACTTATAGATTATGACTTCTGCAGTCTAAAATAAACTCATGAAGTGCTTTTAAGCAAAGATCAAAATATATGTTTTCCGCTTCTACTTAAAATTTATACCTTTTGAATAATCTATAACACCTTCAAACACCCTCTAAAATGTAGACACTCAAAAAATCTTATAGTGTGTCAACATTTAAGAATACTCAATCGTACTTGAACGAATATAACATAACTATTAATAATTCTATTGTGTTGATTTTACAAAGTATTCGGATTAAAATAGAAAAATGCTAGTCTCTTCTGAATGCTATTCACAGTTTAATTCACTTTTTAATTCACAATTTATTTAAAAATCGTAACGGAAATCGGCGGTCAAGCCGGTTTGACCCAGTCCTAGAGATCATAATATGTGTTGAACCGGCTCAAACTGGTTAAGATCGGTAAGAACCGACCGGTCAAATCGGTGAACCATTTTTTTTTACAAAATTCTTCAAAAATATTACGGTAACTAGTACTTGAACGGGTATAACGTACAATTAATAATTCTATTGTGTTGGTTTTAGTATTTTACAGAGCATCTGGGTTAAAAAAGCAAAAATGCTTGTCTCTTCCAAATAATATTCACAATTTAATTCACTTTTTAATTCAGAATTAATTTATTTTTAATAACATAGTTTTAAATACCATAATGGAAATCGACGGTCAAGCCGATCCGATCCAAGAATCCAGCCCTAAAGATCGTAATATGTGTCGAACAGGCTGAAACTGGTTCAGACCGGCAAGAACCGGCCGGTCAAGCAAGTGGACCTTTTTTCGCGAAATTCTACAAAAAAAAATTCCTGCCCATGGGTCTAGCCCTAAAGATCATAATATGTGTCGAACCAGCTCGAACCGGTAAGAACCGGCCGGTCAAATTGTTGAACCATTTTTTTATGCGAAATTCTTCAAAAATTTACCCCATCCATCATTTATAATATAATACACTTCCCATGAATTTCTTTTCGTTTTTCTAAAAAAATAAAATATTGTAGCTTCCATCCAAACTTTTAACTATTGATACAAACTCACAATGCATTTCATGAAAATTTCTTATTTAAATATGTTTTGAAAAGATTAGGCAACTTATCGACCCTTCTTACTTTATCTGGGAAGTTTAATTCCGGACGAGGGATTAGCAAGGAGTGATATACCCATATACATCTATTTATAGGGTTGGCTCAAGCCAAGAGCAGGCTTGCCCCTTGAAGAGAGCCCAATTTCAAACGGGTCCCACTTTCTATATATATATATATATATATATATATATATATATATATATATATATATATATATATATATATATATATATATATATATATATATGCTAGCATTGCTCCGTGCGATGCACGGATTCACGTGCCCGATTAAAGTTTAGTCTTATATACTACTCCGTATTATATATGAACTTTTCTCATGTATTTGTTTTGCATGTCTTTGTTTTGTATTGTTCAAAGTGTATCATGCTGATTTTGAGTTAGTAAGTTTTGTAATGTATTGGTGATACTTTATCAATAAATTCAATTTATTATCATGTGTATTAATTTACATATTTAATGGTAGTATATAATTGTATTTTTATGCATACTTTTTACTCTACAAATACATATGTGGTGTCAAAAATATCAATAACCATCCTCAATATGTTTAATGAAATAAACTGAATAAAATAAAAATATATGGAGTGGTGGATTTTAACATTTTACACACTATATTGGAAATTAATGTACAACTTCTTATTTTTAGGAGAAATAGTATAGAATAATCCCAAATTTACCTGTTCTTTCAAAAAATAAGTATTAGTGCATTAATAATATGTATAGTGTGTAAAATATTAGAACCCTCTACACCTTATATTTTTATTTTATTTCTTACCTGTTTTAAATTAATATCGTTGATTACCTTATATTCTATTGATTACCTTATTTATTTCATTAATTTTGTATTGTCTGAGTTACTTTTTTCTCATTTTTGTTATTTTGTATATCTATTTTTTATTTTTTATAAGGTAAGACTAATCTTTTAAAAAAGAAAGAGAAATAGATTTTGAGATTTTTTTAATGACTAGATAAAGTTGGGATTACTTTGAATAATTTTTCTAATGATAAGAATAATATTTTACAATTGTGGTTTATAGGCTATAAAACATCTTCGTAATTGTGAATTAGAGAATGAAGGGATTAAATATAACTAACGGTGTTAAAGGCTTTTTGGGGTATAAATTGCATGGTACAAGTTTTAAAGCTAATAGTACATGTTTTATGGATGGAAAAGGTGCATAATATTAAGGGGTACGTAACCCTCTTTCACAATTATATAATAAGAAATATATAAATATATATATATATATATATATATATATATATATATATATATATATATATGTATATATATATGTAAATTTTACTTAGTGTGTGTTTGGAATGTCTCTTCTTCTTCTGTAGAAGTTTTAATAAAATAATTTTTTACTCCGTAGTCTGTATTTAAAAAAATTTATTATTAGATGTTACATTTAGAATAAAATAAATTAAATTAAAAATAAAATTTATCAAATCTCGTAAAATCTGATTAGAAAATTTATAAGAGGGAGATGGATGTAAATTTCTAAAATCTTAAATCGGGGCAAAATTAATTGGTCAAGACATAAAAATACATGGTAATATGCTAATAGCGAGGAATCAACAAAAATAAAGCTGTAGATTCAAAATAGTCATTACCAAAATCATCATCCATGAGAACAAAAATATATACAGAAAATTCTTCATCATAAGTTCATAACCATTTTCACAAATATTCGGCGGGGCCGGGCCGAAATCTTCTCCCATGAGAAGAGAAAAATATAGTAGAGAAAATGCACACGAAACGTTACATCCACATCGGCGGTGGCTCGTTCAAGTCGATCGGCAAGCCGCGCCTAGAAACGGCTGCAAACAAGTTCGCCTCGCCGCCGTGTTCGGCTGCCGGAGTGGGTGAGGCAGCGGCGGCACCCACTACCTTCAAGGGAGGCAGAGGCGGGTGCACGAAGGCCGCCTTGGGCACACAGGTCTGGAGGAACTCTCCAATCATGAAGCGGCGGCCAGGCGGCGGAGGCCAATAGCTGCGGAGGTGTTGGTCGGACGGGAGGTTGTTTAGATCCAGCGGGAAGGAAGGCGGCGGCGGAAGCGGAGGCGGGACGAAGGGCGGAAGAGGGAAATTGGTCTTAGCCTTGGTTCCCCGGAGGGACCTGGCGGCGCCGTCGTAGGCTAATGCGGCTTCTTCCGGGGTGTCGAAAGTGCCCAACCAGACTCGGGTTTTCTTCCACGGGTCGCGAATCTCGGCGGCGTAGCGGCCCCACGGCCGCTTTCTCACTCCTCGGTAGTGGCCCTCACGGGTGGACGCCATGGAAGACGACGAGGAAGAAGGAGAGAGAGAGGGGAAGACCGGATTTATGTTCGGTCTTTTTTTTTTTTAATTATAAGAATGAGAGGAAAAGGTTGTCTTAAAAAGAGCAGGGGTAATTGTGGGTGGAAACCAAACATAAAGTTTCAATTTTTAAAAATAAAAACAAAAAATGGGGAGAGAGAAAAAGGTGATGAAAGGGCCCCACCTGGAAAGCCCGTAATCGTCGGCTGGACGGCACGAGTTATTCCGTGTCGTTCATGACTTGGTCCTGTTGCTTACTGTGCACACCCGTTTTATGTTTCTCAAACATCATTAAAATAACTAGTATTACTCCCGTGCGTTGCACGGCTAATATTTTTAATATGAAATTATTTAATCACTTTATTATTTAAAAAGTAAAATTAACAACAAATAGCTTATTAAATCAAAATATAAAATTTAAAGAAATTTAACTTTTGATTTTTTGTGAACTACATTGTTATCGCTATAAAAAATGCCACATTAGCAGTATAGTTAATAGGTACACAATGAAATTTATGTAGTATTTAGTAAGTAATGAAGTAAAAATATGCATCAGTCACTTGCCCAAATACAAATATATAGTAATTAAAAAATATAAACTTAAAACTAAGAACTTTGTGTTAAATTGATATTATTATAAATCAATTAGATTACAAATTACCAATTTGAACGATTACATTGGTTTAGAAATTACAAACAAATACATTAAATATGAAATGCAATATATCAATTTTATTGATTGCATTTGAAAATTGAAGTCATTTAAAATTTGGATCATTTTTATGATTTACAAATAATCTTTAAAGTTGAATCACACTTTATATTATTTCTATCTAAATAATTGTGACAATCCTACATATGAAATGAAGTTTAAAACTTTAGTACTAAAATTATTTTTAAATTTGGGTAAAAACTAAAAATCAATAGACGATAGAAATCCACAGGTGGAGCAAATATTTATACATGCAAGAAGGGATTTGAAAAGAAAATAGGCGTGCAAAAATTTTCATTATAAATAATGACATTATTATGGTAATTAATAATAAATGTACAATAATATTTACGTTCCTAAGAGCTTTTGGTTACCTTTTATGTTTTACACTATCTATTATAGTTCTTCATTTAACATTTATTTATTTACTATTCTATTTGAGTAATGCTAGAGTCACAAAGAAATCGTTCATAAAAATCACAAACTTGTCTTTTTAAGTTCTTAGTAGAAATAAGGTACATTTAAATAATAAAAGATATTTTAATTTAACATATACAAAAGACAAATTTGTGAAGTTTGTGAGTCATTTGTTTGTGACTCTAATATTTTTTATTTTTATTTAGAACACTCCATTTATTTAGAACATTTATTTACTTACCATTAGCGTAATCCTCCATGTACCATGTTGTATCAAAACTTACCATTTTATGTAGAACTCTCCATTTATTTAGAATATTTATATACTTACCATTACCGTATCCATCCCCATTTTATTTAGAACACTCCATTTAATTAGAATATTTATTTATTTACCATTACCATATTCCTCCAAGTACCGTGCTGCAAAATTAACATTTAATTTTGGACTATTATTATTATTATTTTTATTAATAGTACCATTTAATAAGGCCACCTGTCGTTATATGGTTATTAACGATCCTGACATTTTTAGTCATTAGATACGTTACTATTTACGTAGTACGTTTTACACAGTCACAATTTTACATGTTTCCATTTATTTTTATTTATTCTTACATTTATATATAGTATACTATATTCATGAACGTAATTTATGTTTCAAATTATACTCATGATAAACTATAATGAGAACATAAATAATTACACATGGTCAAAGTCCCTTTTAATTATATATATTTATTTTTAATTATATTTATAAATTTATTTATTATTTTGTTTATTAATTTTAGAAATGGGACGATATAATTATGTCTCATTTTAATTAAATTTCACCATGTATAAAAACAATAATACGCACAATCTACCATTTAATTATATTTATTTATTATTAATTTCATACTATTAATAATATTTCATGATGAATTAGTATGCCGCATTAATTCCAATACGTGAGAGTTAATTGTGATACCTTAAATAGAATCTATTAAATTGGTAGTTTATGAAGATGAAGGACAACCGTAGATCTAATGAAATCAATGGTGCTGAATGAATGTGCTTTGGGCGGGAAAAGCTTGGGGCGGAATTCCCCTGCTTTTAAGAATAGAATGATGTGAAATTTGCACTAAATAGGACTAAAACATAATGACTTTCTTAATGTAGGACTTGAACTTTTTTATTCTCTAAATAGGACTTAATAATGACCTAGTGGAAGGAATAATGTCCAGCAATGATGGACATTTAGTTGAATAATGACTACTTGATAATGACCAAAGGTCTTACATTGGGAAATAAAAACATATGGTCCTATATGGAGAAAGTCATTATGTTTTACTCATATTTAAATAAATTTCTCTAAAATAATACCCCCTCTCTTTTTTAATACTCTCTCCGTTACTAAATACATTACAAATTGCGGGTTACAAAGTAAAATTTCTTATTTTTTGAAATTATTTTATTTACAAATTAGTATATCAACAAGATATAAAAATTACATATTAAAAAACTATTTCAAAAATTCTACAAAACAAGAGGTGACAAGAATATTTTATTTTATGAAATACTCAATGAAATCGCGTAAACAAATAAAAGTTATCGAGAGGAGAAGGAAAAAAATTGTAATTTAATTGGGAACGGATGGAGCATATTAATCGTACATTCTTAGATCAATGTGTAAAAAGTTATTATTTTAAAAAGATTTTTTTTGAGATTGTTGAAGAAAAATAATACTTCATTTGTCCGAAAAAGAAAGTCATTGTTCACTAATAACAAATCGTGAGAACTTTTTTAATTTGTATTGAAAAAATAAAATATTTTTTTCATCTCTTGTTTTGACGTAGTTTTAAAATATATTAATATTATTTTTTATTTTTATGCCAATCTTTAAATAAAATAAATTAAAAAGCCTTAAAATTTTGTTTCATTTTACATAATGTGATAAACATTTTTAATACGGGTGGAGCATATGGTCTATAATTTTTATTCAATTTTTAAATTGATTTTATAACTGGGACAAAAATTGAGATGTGATAGTTTTGGCCAAATAGAGATGGGATATTGCTATGGTACACCATTTTATATTCTATTTTGCCTCATTATTTATCAAATTTTTCTTATCTACTCCTCAAATTTCATTAACCTTATAAAATATGTTAGGTGAAGGTTAAGGTGCGACATGTTTGTGAATAACATCAGAGATTAGCATTAACGTTTTAAAAAGATTATCTACGAATAACGTCTAGTTTTAGCTTTTTCAAAACTAACGTTAAAATTTTAACAATAATAATAATGCTAATTGAAAACGTATTTCTAAACGGCTTGTGAGGTGTAGAGTCGAGTACAAGTGATAGAACTCAAACAATTTTTTTGTAGGGGATCCGAATCAAATCTTGAATAGAAAATCAAATAAAGCGGCCGAGGGATATAATTAAGTGGGACCAGAGGGATGGCTGAGGCGGACCCCCTCCGTGGAGGAGGCTGCAAATTGAAAAACGCATAAGCGAATAAAACGAGAAAATGGGGAACGGGCCCCGCAGTGGGACTTGGAGAGCATGGGTCGGCATTTTATTGCTCCGTATTTCGGGTCAAAACAAGGTTTTTATTTTATTTGGTGACATAACATTTACGGAGTATAAAATAAAATTGTGTAGATAATATAGAGACGAGTAAAAGAGTCTAACCTAGAAAATATTTTAAAATTGAAATGATTAATTTGTTTAGAGACATCTCAAAAAAGAAATGAAGAATCATTTTTGACACATGGAGTATTTTTAGACATTTTTTCACATGAACAAATTGAACTTTATTCATTGTGTTCTTTATTTTCATTACACTTTTATAATACTCATTCCGTCCAAAATTAATCTTCACATTTTGAACAACGAATACAACTGGGTTGTTGTTTGTTTATTTTGAACAACGTATACAATCTTCCTTTTTTATAATAATTTTTTTACAAATTGGTATATAATGAACAATACAAATTACATATTTTTAAAGTACATTAAAAGTTTTGAAAAAATAAATGTGACGCCAAGTATCAAATGCACGCTCCACCTTTTGCCACCAATCTATGTTTAAAACTCAATTTACCTTTTCCAAGAAAATCATCTAGACGATTTAGAGTGACTCTCAGAAATGAGGTTCATCCTTTATTTATAAAGTAAAGTAATGTCAATAGGGTAACATCAAAGTTCGATTCCTGATAACTGCTTGGTAATAAAATATACATTGCAAATGGCTTATGCAATTACCACGTGCATATATTAAATGAGGTTCATCATTTTCTAATATAGTAAAAAATATGTTGTCCACAATATTTATTTTTCTCCTAAACAAGCTTCAACCACTCATATGTTATTTCTCAAAAATTTTAAAAAAATTGGTGAATCAAACTATGACAATTAATTGAGAGTATAAAATATAGACCTAAAAAAAATGGTCTCACATATATTTGGCCGGCCTGAAAAATTGAATTTTGAATAAAAATTTTATTGACCAAACTTGAAGTTGACCAAATTTGAAATGACCAACTAAAAATGAGTCAAATTTGGCCAACCTGGACCCCGACTCGACCGACCCGCAAATACAAGAATTTTTTTGAACTCGAACTTGAATTTACCCCAATCCAAAATAATCCAAACCTAAAACAACATAACCCGAACTCAACTTGACGGGCCGAATGACGGGAAGAGTGATGTAAAAAATTAGACGCCGACTGATGAGACGTGTCACGGCTAGGCCAGAGTTTAGGGGGAGGGGAGAGGGGGGGGGGTCAGTGGTGTGACTAGACAATGCGGCGGAGTAGTAGTAGTAGTCTACCATCCACTACTACACGCACCACCGTAGCCTAGCCTAGCCTAGCCTAGCTAGACTCACGGCGGATGGATGACGCAAGCCCTACGGCCGTACCTCGGCTCTCTGCCCGCGGCGCCTCCATCTTTTCAATTTTATTACTCCACCACCACTCCACTCCACTGCTGCAGTATATGGTAAAAGTACGCTTCCAAATTTACTCCTCAGCTCCCTCCCTAAACTCACCAATTTACCGTCCCCTTCTCCCTATATTGATAGCTTTGAATCCTTTG